TCAATTATTTTTCGAAAGAAAACCTGAAGATTTCCAGTTTTTATTGGAAAAAAAGTAAAAAAATTCTGTATTTTCCAGATTTCAAAAACGCAGATTTTCAAAAATTAGACAATTTCAGATTTTTTTAGAAAAAATTCGAAAAATGCGATTTTTTTCTTTTTTTTTCGGAAAAAATTTTAAATTTTCAGATTTTCATGGAAAAAATGCAAAATTTCAGATTTTTTTTCCAAGTTTTTTTTCGAAAAAATTCAAAACTTTCAGATTTTTTTTGGAAAAAAATTCCAAAATTTCGGGTTTTTTTCAACCAACATGACATTTTTGCACGTATTTTCCCAATATTATTTTTCNCCGCTCACCCACCCATTAAAGCATTTATCGATTGATTGTCGCTGTGCTAAACAGGGCGCAAAGCCGGGATAGCGGAGTGTCGTAGCCAAATGTTTTTTTCAGGATAATGAGTTTGAAAAAACTCGAGCAAAATATGAGCAAATGAGTGGTGATGTGATTTTTAAAGACTTAAAAAAACTGACACCGATATCTTGGGATAAGAATGAAGACGAGACGATGCGGCTTGCCAATTTCGTTACCCATGCCAACGATTCGAGACAAAAATCGATAATTTTCGCTCAACTAGCTGTCTTATCTGTCAATTCTATTAGAGCTGTAGAGAGAGTTTGGGATTACCGCGGAGAAATGTTTGTTCTACATGGTTCTATCAGGAATAATAGGAAGAAGATTACGGTACGAGTGTTTGAGGATGGAAAAGAGCGATTTGTGATGAATAAAGAGCTTGTCGATGCATTCATCGCATCGGGATTTCCATGCTCTCCCATTGGCGGAGATTATTGCTACACGACGGCGATGAGGGATGTGTATCGGGAATATAAACATTATATTCAAAATATTGAGGTTTAGTTGAAATCGAATTGCAAAGATGCTTTGTTCGGTGGAGCGCGGTTGCAGAAAATCAAATTTCTCAATAGAGCGCATTTTCTAAACTTTTCGAAAAATCCAATTTCACAATAGAGCGCATTTTCCATTTTTCGAAAAAGTCTCTTTATTTAAATGAGAAATTGAATTCGAAGTTTTCAAGAAATCCAATTTCACAATAGCTATTTCACAATAGAGCGCATTTTCAAAAGCGCAAAAAAGACTCTATTGAGAAATTTGATTCTTTGTTAAATTTCAAAATGCGCTCTAATGAGGAATCGCAAGTTTTTTGAAAGTTTTGGAAATGCGCTCTATTGAGAAATTAGATTCAAAGTTTTCGAAAAATCCAAGTTCTCAATAGAGCGCATTTTCAAAAAGCATCAAAAAATCCAAGTTCTCAATAGAGCTCGTTTTAAAATTTTTCAAAAAAGGTAATTTCACAATAGAGCGCATTTTCAAAATTGCAAAAAAGACTCTACTGAGAAATTTGATTCTTTGAAAATGTTCAAAATGCGCTCTAATGAGGAATCGCAAGTTTTTTGAAAATTTATGAATGCGCTCTAATGAGAAACTGGATTTTTGAAAGTTTTGGAAATACGCTCTATTGAGAAATTGGATTCAAAGTTTTCGAAAAATCCAAGTTCTCAATAGAGCGCGTTTTAAAATTGTTCAAAAAAGACAATATTTGGATTTTAAGTTTTAGGGAAAATTTTGAAGTAGAGAGCATTTTTTAAATTTCCAAAAGATGCAATTTCTCAATAGAGCGCATTTTCAAATATTTCAAATATCCTATTTCCCAGAAGATCGTAATTTTGAAATCATCAAAAATATTGTTCCTCAATAGAGCGCATTTTCATAGTTTTCAAAAAATAACCCCATTTCTCAATGGAGCGGATTTTCAAAAATTTCAAAAAATCCAATTTCGCAACAGAGCGCATTTTCAAATATTTCAGAAATCCAAATTCTCAATGGAGCGCATTTTCAAAATATTCAAAACAGACAATTTCTCAATGGAGCGCGTGTTTAAAATTTTCAAGACATCCAATTTCTCAATAGAGCGCATTTTCATAATTTCCGAAAAATTCAATTTCTCAATTGAGCGCATTTTCAAAATTTTTCAAAAAACAAGTTTCTCAATAGAGCGCATTTTCAAAACTGTTTAAAAATATAATTTCTCCATAGAACAAATTTACATAATCTTCGAAAAATCCAATTTCTCAGTAGAGTGCATTTTTGAAATTTTCCAAAAAAACGAATTTCTCAATAGAGCGCATTTCAAACTTTTCAAAAAACTTGCAATTTTGGCTCCACCCACTTTTCCTGGGAAGTTGTTTCCTTTGGAATCTGTGGGTCCTCTGAAAAATTGTGTGGTACAATCGCGCTCCACCGAACATCAAAAAAAAAGCGCGCAATTCAAATTCCAATTTCTTATTTTCCAGTTCATCCGCTACCCAATCACTAGAGCCAAACACCGAGCAACTCCTGTAAAAGCTCCAAACATCGATGGTGCAGAGAGCCTAGTGATTCTAGCCATCGACGCGTTTTTCGAAATTTTCCGTTATTCGATTTTCCGTCTCAAACTATTGCAGTTGGAATCGAAAGGCTTTGAACTACTGAAACAAATGATACCGGTGTTTCTGCAATTAAATGATAACAGTGTTAGTATTTTTTGAAAATTTAACTTTTCGAATTTTAAATTCAGAATACTGTATACTTCATTCCACTACTAATGTTCGATGAGTTTGAAAAACGATATCATAAAGAAATCAATAATTTGCATTCAAGTCCATTAACTGATGTTCTGGATGTTGGAACGGATGGGTTTACTGTAGAAAACCTAAAAGAAGAACTTGCAAAATGTGGATTGACTCGTTACTGTCCAGAAGCCATAGAGCACGCAGAAGCGGTGTATTCTGAAGTGAATCGAATCAAAAAAGAGGGAATTCTGAGAACTTGTGACATGTTTGACGCTATTGAGCATTGCAGTCTCCTTTGTGTTCTTGGGCAACTTCCGGAAGTGAGTGTTGACGTGATTTGTGTGCGGCTGGCGCTTTTCTTGTGACTTTTGAATTTTTTGACTGGGGAATGTATAGAAATCTGGAAGTTTCGAGAAATTTGAGTATTTAAAAAACTGCAAAAATTTAAAATTTTGAAAAAATAAAAATTCTGGAAATTCAAAAATATTAAAGTCTAGACATTCTGAAAATTCTAAAAATCTGAGTATTTCGAAATTTTGAAAATACAGAAGTTCCTATGATTATTCCAAAAATTGAAATTTCAAAAAACCAAAATTTGTGATTTTACAAACTTTTCAAATTTCAAAAATCTTCAGGTCCCAGTTTTTTTTCAAATCGATTTTGTAAAATTTGAATATTTTGAAAACTGCAAAAAAGTTGACATTCCCAAAAATCTGAAAAATTTAAATTTTCGAAAAATGTCTAAAAATTTGTTATTAAAGTTTTCAAAAATCGGAAAATTTGGAAATTTTAAAAACTCAAAAATAATGAAAAATTCTAGAAGTTTCAATATTTTCGAATATTCCAAAAATTCCGAAATTCCAAAAAGATTGAACTACCAAAAATTGCAGAATTTTGGATATTTCTAAAAAAATTTCAATTCCAATATTTCTAGAATTTTCAAACTTGTAAATTGAAAATTTTCGAAAATCGAGTTTTAAAAAAATTTGAAAGTTCTAGAATTTTCAATAAAAATTGAAAATTCAATAATTTCTAGAAAAAATGAAAATTCTCAAAAATCTTGGATTTCGGAAAATTATTTTGAAAAAATTTCGAAAATTTTCCAATTCGAAAACTTTAAATTCAAAAAAAATTTATACATTTTTGACGATTTCAAAATATCGATTTTTAGACCTTTCGAGGTGAAAAATTCATAAATTACAAAAAAAAAGCGCCAGCAGCACGCGAATCGCGCCAATCAACATTCCCTTTGCGCATAACAATAAATTTCAGCTCAAAATCTTCGTTCACCAACAAAAAGGGTGTCATAGAGTGCTGAGCTACACCTGTGACTACTGTGATGGATTGCCGAGAATTCCAGAAAAGACACAAATGACAATTGGGGGATTCTTTAAAGCGATGACGTCTATTTCCAAGGTTTTGGAGATTCTTTCCACTCATAAGAAGAACCAGAAGGCGTCGGAGGAGAAGAAGGCGACTTTAGCGATTTTAGAAGATGTGGAATTGAAGAAACGGGAGAAGAAGGAGAGAAAGAAGGAGAGGAGAGCGCAGAGAAAGAAAGAAGAGAAATTGAAAATTTCTGCGTTGAAAAATGAAGGTTCAGAAGCGGAAAAGACGTCAGAAGACACCCAGAAGACGTCAGAAACCATTATCGATGAGCAACCAAAAAATGAAGATTCAGAATTCGAGAAGAGCTACAAAAATCTCAAAAATGATATTCAAAAAATTCTGAAAGCCTCTTCACTACTCGAGAACATTCCAGGGACTCCTCCAGGAGATTCTCCAGGAGATCCAGAACCTACAGTACCCCAAAAGGAGTCGAAAAACTGTGAAAACTGTGAAAAGTAAACGGAAATTTCTGAAAAAATCGATTTTTCAAAATTTTCAGACAACTAGCTGATCTACAAAAAATCGCCAAAGAAAACGAGGAGCTAAAAGCTGAAATTTGAATTTTAAGCGCCCGAAAATCTCAAAAATCGGCTAAAAATTGGCAAGCTGAAAAGCAGGGAATGCAGCTGAGAATTCAAGAATTCCAGGCGGAAAACGATGAAAATCAACGAATGATGATTCAACAACTACTCGATGAATTGGATAAAAATCAATAATTTTCGTTGAAAAATCTTTTAAAAAAAGATTTTTTGTCTGTAAAAATTGTATTTTTTTTTGTTTATTTGATTGTATAAGGCATAATTATCAATAAAGCTTGTTTTTCTCTCTATTAAAAGATTGTTTCGCACTAGAGTAACGTGTCGACACAGAGTCGTATCGACACAAGTGAAAAATATCTGAAAAATCGTATCGACGCAAGTCGGCACAGAGTCGACTTGTGTCGACTCGCGTGTCGCGTCGACCGAGTCGACTCGTGTCGACTCGCTTGTCGTGTCGATTCATGTCGATACTGTATCGACTCGTGTCGACACGACACGACACTTCATTTTCAACGCGCTCTATTGAACAGTAATTTATTTAAGATATTGAACTTTTTTTTGTTGTTTTATTGAATAGACAATATTTAGAAAAAAGTTAGAAAATGCGAGAAGAAAATGAAAAATTGAGTTGAATTTAGATTTATTGCAAAACACCAGTATAATAAAATACAAATTTAACCGAAAAATGAAACCGAATTACATTTGACCGAAAAAGTTTAAAAATTAATTATGAATTGTTTGGGCTAGGTGGACTGATGGGAGAGATCGGAGAATCATTCGATTTTTCAAAAAAATCCCAGGCAGGAGAGTTTTACACTCATTCTGTAAAAAAATTTAGAGTAAATCACGATTTGAAGCAGGAGTAGAACATTATGTGATAGAATAATACAAATTTCAATCAGATATAACTGATAAACACCGGAAGATAAGTTTTCTACGGCATTACATTTAAATGAATGTGTAAAATTTGAAGTAATAACACATAAAATACCAATATTTGCGAAAAAAAATCGATTTGTAGCGGAAAAAAAACAATAAACAACAATAAACAGCGAAAACAGTCCCTTTTCCGAGAGGACTACACGAGGTTCCGCGCACTCGCGCAGTCCTCTCGGAAAAGAGACCGGCGTCGAGTCGACTCGTATCGACACGACACGAGTCGACGCGAGTCGACTCAGAGTCGACACGACACGACTCAGAGTCGACTCGAGGTTGTGTCGACACGAGTCGACACAGAGTCGTGTCGTGTCGACTTTGTGTCGATACTGTGTCGTTTCTGGTGTCAGTCGACACGATTTTTATCGACTTCAATAGTCCGACTGGTCGACTCGAATCGTATCGATTTTTGTGTCGACACGTTACTCTATTTCGCACGAAAAACAATTTAAAAATTCAAAATATCAGCTTTCGCGGCGACACCCCTTAAAGGCGCACAACTCGATTTGTTGCGGCGGGTCTCGCAACGAAATTTGAAATGTTGAAAAGCACCGTTTTTATCGATTTTTTGATCAAAGCTGAAAAATGGCTAATTTAAACAAAAAAAACCGCTTTTCCACATTTTTTCGGGGGGAAAAGCCTTGTAATTCAAAAATTTATCGATTTTTCAAAAAAAAAAAGTGGTTAGCGGGTGAAAAATTGCAAAAAAGCAGCATAAAAATTAGGAAATATCACAAATATCTTCCCATATCCTTGATTCGCTCTCGAGCCTCCTCAAATTGTGCGAATTTGTTGTTCATTTTTCCAATCATTTCTTGAACATCCAAATCATCGATTTCAGATGTCGTGGATTCTGATTCTGACGTCTTCTGAATCGTCGAATTTTCCGATTCTGCTTCCGCATCCTTTCTATCCATTTCTTCTAGAATTGTATCGATTTCCGATGGTTCTTCTTCCAGAATTTTCAGCATTTTCAGACGATTCTGAATTTTTGATTCTGAGGATTCTGAAGCCTCCGACGTCTTCTGATTCTCAGAAACTTCGTCGTCGGTCCACGTGTCCTGAGCCTCACAGTACTCACATTCCAGCCCAACGACTCGATGACATCGCATCTGTTTGTGCAGGAATTTTTGGAGCTGAAAAGTAGAAGTTATCAATAGAGCGCATTTTCCGAAACTTCCGGAAATCCGATTCCTCAATGGAGCGCACGTTCAAAGATTATGAAAAATCACACTTCTCCGTAGAGCGCATTTTCCAAAATTATCGGTAAATGCAATTTCTCAATAGAGCGCATTTTTTTAAAGTTTCCAAGAATTGAAATTTTCAATTGAGCGCATTTTCAAAAATTTCCAAAAAAGCGCATTTTCAAAATCTCCGAGAAGTTCAATTTGTCAATGGAGCGCATTTTCCAAAATTATCGGAAAATGCAGTTTCTCAATGGAGCGCATTTTCCGAAGTTTCCAGAAATCGAAATTTTCAATGGAGCGCATTTTCAGATATTTCAAAGTTTTCGATTTTTCAATAGAGCGCGTTTTCGAAGACCATTTTTTAAAACGTGCCCTCCATTGAGAAATGGGATTTTAATTCCAATCTCTGAATAGAGCGTATTTTCCAAAATTTTCGAGAACTCTAGTTTCTCAATAGAGCGCTTTTTCCAGGCATTCAATATTTCAATAGAGCGAATTTTCAAAATTTTCCAAAAATTGATGAATTGTCAATAGAGCGCATTTTCCATACTTTCAAAAATCCAATTTCTCAATAGAGCGCATTTTCAAAATGTTCCAAAAACCACAATTTCTCAATGGAGCGCATTTTCAAAATTTTCGAAAAATCCAATTTCTCAATGGAGCGCATTTTCAAAATATCCAAGTTTTCAATGGAGCGCATTTTCAAAATATTCAGAAAATCCGAATTTCTTAATAGAGCGCATTTTCCAAAATTTTCCAAAAAAGCGCATTTTCAAAATCTCCAAGAGCTTCAATTTCTCAATGGAGCACATTTTCCGAAATTATCGGAAAATGCCAAGAATTGAAATTTTCAATAGACCGAATTTTTCGAAAATTTCAACAAATTGAGAAAATTGTCCATGGAGCGCATTTTCATAACTTTCAAAAAAAAAACACAATTTCTCAATAGAGCGCATTTTCGAAATTTGTCAAAAGTCCAAACTTTTCGAAAATCGATAAATTGAAGTTAAATTATCAGTAGAGCGCATTAAAGCGCATTTAAAATTCAATTTTTTCACTTGTTCAAGCTAAAATTCGAAATTTCAACGGAATTGTTAAAAAAATTTTTTTCAAAAAAGCCAATTTCTCAATAGAGCGCATTTTCGAAATTCAAACCAACCTTTGGATATCGTTTAAAAATACACAAAATCTGGCACATTTCCACCGCGTCAAACATATCGGAAGTCCTCAAAAATTCGCCCTTTTTTCGTTTTTCAATTTCCCGAAAAACGATTCTCGCGTATTTTTGAATTTCCGGAGAAATCGTGGTGAGACCCAAACGGACTAGCTCAATCTCCAGATTCCTTTCTGTGAATCCATCGGCTGGCACGTTTCGAATCGTTTGAACATTGGCAGCATGATCACAGTATTGGCTCTCAGTGTTGGCTAGACATTCGACACGAATGAAGGCGTGGGGTGTCTGGAAATTTTGAAATTCTGGAAAAATAACTTTTTGGCTGAAATTTGGAAAAAAAATGAAATTTTTGAAATTTTTTTTTCGAAAAAAAATCTGAAACATTTTGAAGAGAAACATATGAAAATTAAAAAATATGAAATTTTTCTGAGAAAAATATGAAATTTCTGCCGAAAAAATCGAAATTTTTGAAATTTTCAAAAAATATTTTCTGAACTTTTCAGGCCATTTTTGACTAATTTTTGCGCATTTTTTGGAATTTTCATCTGATTTTTGACCTATTTTTCAGCCAAAAAACGAACAAATTCAGAATCGCAAAACGTTTGAATCGTATCCAAGACTCGACAAATATCCTGCCAACACTTGGCCCGTTGAAGGGATTTCGCTCCGAAAATCAGAAATTTCAGAAACGAATCGAAAAGTGCGTCGACACAAAGAACACAGAATCCGTCTCGTGTTGGTCCCTGGAGATAGACGGCACGATGTTTTGAACGTTGAATCGGATAACGGATGAACTGCAAAAAATATCGATTTTTGAAAGAATTGTTATTAGAGCGAGTTTGCAGATTTTTGGAATTTGAAAAAAAAAAGTTATCATTAAAGCGAGTTTTCGAAAAATTTGAAAAATTCATGATTTGTCAATGGAGCGCGTTTGCAGATCTCAAACGTTTTCAAAAATTGGCGAATTGTCAATGGAGCGCATTTTGAATATTTTCGAAAAATCCAGTTTCTCAATAGAGCGCACTTTCAACATTTTCAAAACATCCAATTTCTCAATAGAGCACGTTTGTAGATTTTGAAAAATTGCAGAAATCGATAAATTGTCAATAAAGCGTGTTTGCAGATTTTCAATTTTTCGAAAAATTGATAAATTGTCAATGGAGCGTGTTTGCAGATTTTCAATTTTTCAAAAAATTGACAAATCGTCAATGGAGCGAAATTGCAGATTTCAAACATTTTCAAAAATTGACGAATTGTCAATGAAGCGCATTTTCAAAATTGCAAAAACTTGAAATTTTTTTATTTATTTTAAAATTCAAAAAAAAAGAAGTTTTTTCCAAAAAATTCTAGAAAATAATTTCCTCACAAAATTCAATTTTCAGCACTTTTCCAGACCAAAACTTCGCTGAATATTCCAAATTCTCAGTCAAAAAGTTCCAAAAATCGCTCTAAAACCCTCAAAAATGAACCTCAATGTCTCCGATTCGATCTCCATAAAATTCCAGCACATCTTCCCATTCCATCGAGCTGATCACATGTTTTTCATTTTCATTGAATATGATGGAATTCGAATAGTCCGAATATCGATTTATCGCATTGAACAACTCCTGTTTCATCACAAACTTAAACGGTCCATCCTCAAATAGTCGTACTGTAGGCGCCACGCTTTTTGGATTTGGCTGAAAATTGTCAAGAAATTCTCAAAGCCTTTTTGAAAACACTTCCCTTGAAAAATCGAAAATTTCCGAGAAAAAAAGAGCGAAAAATCGATTTTTTACTGAAAATTCGGCGATTTACAGTCAAAAATTGCAATAATTCGACTTTTTTTCGTCGAAAATTTGAAAAGTTGGAAACTAAAAACTTGAATCTTTAGCTCAAAAAATTGCGATTTTTTCAAATTTTCTGCTCGACTTTTACCAAATTTTCATTCAAAATTCTAGTTTTCGCTTCGGTTTTCTCATGAATTTTAGCTTAAAAATTGAAACTTTTGAGTCAAAAATCACGATATTTGAGTGGGAATTTTTGCGAAATTTGGATTTCAATTTTCAGTGAAAAAAAGCGATTTTCAAGGGGGACTCCGACCAAAAATTTTTATTGCATTAAAATGTGTTCAAAGATATTTTCCGAATATTCTTGCGATAAAACTCAAAAAAATTCGAAATTCCCAAAAAACGGCGTTGAAAAGGAAGAAAATTTAAAAAGAGGTGCCGCCGGGGGACGAGGATTTTCAGTGAGAAACCTAGGCCACGGCAGCGGGCGCCTTTCCTACGTGGCAAATTTTTCGGATTTTTTTCACTTTCATGTCCGGCAGGTAAAAAAGTAAAAAACCACTGTCGGCGACTTGAAAAAAAAGGCTGTCAGGTGCCGTGGTTTCTCACTGAAAATCCTCGTCCCTCGGCGGCACCTTTTTTTGAATTTTCTTCCTTTTCAACGCCGTTTTTCGGGGATTTCGGATTTTCTTTGAATTTTTTCGCAATAATATTTGAAAAATAGATAAATTTTACCACATTTTAATGCAATAAAAATTTCTGGTCGGAGTCCCCCTTTCAAGCAAAAATGCCCAAATTTTCAGGTGAAAAAAAAACTTTTCAGCCTACTTTTGGACCATTTTAAGCCTATTTTAGTCCATTTTCAGCCTATTTTTGACCATTTCTAGTCAGTTTAGGACCATTTAAAGCTTATTTTGGACCATTTAAAGCCTAATTTGGGCAATTTTAAGCCTATTTTAGACTATTTTAAGCCTAATTTCAATCATTTTTAGCCAACTTTGGTCCATTTTAAGCCAATTCGAACCATTTCAAGCTTATTTCGGATCATTTTAAGCCTACTTTGGGCAATTTTAAGCCTATTTTGAACTATTTTAAGCCTAATTTCAATCATTTTCAGCCAATTTTGGTCCATGTTAAGCCTATTTTGGTCCATTCTAAGCCAATTCGAACCATTTCAAGCTTATTTCGGATCATTTTAAGCCTTTTTTTGACCATTTCGAGCCTGTTTAGGACTATTTTTAGCTTACTTTACATCATTTTTTGCCAATTTCAAACCATTTCGGATCATTTTAAGCTTATTTCTGACCATTTTTAGCCTATTCTGAATCATATTTGAGATCATTTTTAGCCAGTCTTGGTCCATCTTAGCCTGTTTAGGACCATTTTTTGCATATTTAAAACCCTTTTAAGCTCAATTCTCAATTTTTTAGAATTTTTGGTTAAAATCAGGCTCTTTCAGCTCGAAAGTAGCACAATTTTGAGCGAGAAATTTCAATTTTTGGTCTTAAAAATCCGATTTTTACCCCAAAAAGTGTGGGTCGACTGTCGATAAGTTTCCTGAAACAATTCATGGTTCCAGCGTCGACAAAATACACATATAGTCGATTCATAATGTCCTTATCCGTGCATTTTTTCGATTTGAACATATTTGAGAAGAACGATCGATGGTCTTCGTGCCAGGCGATCGAATTGAACTCCTTCATTTTTGAATCGATATAGTTGAAGTGTCTGTCACGGACATACGGTGTCAGCTCGTCGCGAAGTCGCACCGCCTGGAAATTTTTGGGGTTTTTAGTCAAAAATTTGAATTTGAAAGGTTAAAATATAAGGTTTTTGGGTCATTTTTGGACCAAGAATGATGAAATTTGAATTTTTCAAAAACCAAAAATTGAAATTTGAGGCTTTTTTCGGGATTTTTTCAGTCCGAAATTTGATGTTTTTCCATTTGGTTTTTCAAGCAAAACTAATGATTTTTGAGGGTTTTTTTTTTCAATTTTGGGCCCAATTTTCCAGTTTTCGGACTCGAAATTTGCAATTTTCAGGATCAAAATTGATGATTTTGTGCTGAAAATCCCGAAAAATACACTGCAAAGTCTACATTTCGACATACTACCGCTCGAAATTCGAATTTTGGAAAACTTGAGCCAATTTCAGAATTTTTGAATTTTTCGAAAATTCCCATCTTCCAGTTTTTGGGGTTTTTGCGATCCAAATTTCAGATTTTTGAGCCGAAGTTGGGGAATTTCGAGCTCTAAATATTCAGTTTCGAGGTCAAAAATGTGATAAATTCCAATTTTTGACCAATTTTTCAAATTTTGACTTCAAAAACATCAAAATTCGGCTCCAAAAACATGATTAGAGCTGAAAATTGAAATTTTCAGCACTAAAAACTGCATTTTGGACCCGAAATTCCGCTTTTTTGGGACTTTTTGGGCCAAATTCTGCATATTTTGAAGGGAATTCCCCGTACATTTCGATTCGCCTCGTTGTGCCCATCACAAATCTCCTTCCAAATCCCATTGTACGTCGCGAAATCAAATTTCCAGAATTCCACGTGCTCACTACTACCAGGCACCAGTTCCCGGAGAAATTGACCCAAATCATAGCCAAATTGGCTGAGAAGCTGAAAAAATCGATAATTGATTTTTCAGAAAAAATCCGAACCGGATGGTCCTGGACGACGAAAAGTGCCATGTTTCGAATGATTGTTAGTAGATCGGATTTGCAGAAAAAATCCTCGTTTTTCAGGCTTTTATAGACAAAAGAGGTCTGAAAAATTGAAATTTCAGACTTTCAAAAATCAAAAATCGATTACATTGGGTGTAATGGCGCTGAAGAAACGAAAACTTTCTGGGAAATTTTTGAATATTTTAATATTTTCAGCCAGCTCTTCGACGGTGCCGTACATTCGAAGATCCGGGTCGCCGAGAGCCAGAATTTCCTCTAGAGTTTGATTACTGTCAACGCCTTCAGTGAGAAAGTTTTGAACGTCTTCAATCGTCTTTCGAAGCTGGAAATTGCTTTGTTTTTGAAAAAAAATTTTTTTGAAAAGTTTTTTTCGGTTTTCTCAGTCGAAAATAACCTAAAAACCACCATTTCAACGCTTACCGGGCCTAGAATATACTCTAAAGCTGTCGAGAGCCGAATTTCGAATTTTCGAGCATTTTCTGGCGGTTCCGATTTCGCTGCCATCAAAATATCTGAAAAACTGGGTCAAAATTATGAAAAATAGAGTTTTTCATAACAAAAAGTGCTAAAAACCCCTGAAAAACTGCCAGAAATCAGTGAGAAATAACAAGAAAAAATCAGAAAAATGCGAAAATTTGAAAACTACAGTAATCCTGAAAGGCGCATAACCAAAATTTGTCCATTGGGTCTTGCAACGAAAATATTTAAAATCGATTTTTGCGGTTTTAGGTTATTGATTGTCAAATTTGGATGATAAATAAATAGAAAAACACTTTTACACCAATTCCCAGCAAAAACTAGCAAAAAAACACTAAATTCCGTTTTAAAATAAGAGAAAACTTTTTGAAAAAATTCACAGTAAAGTTTAAAGGCGCATGACTTTTCATGACTGGCAGGTCTCGCAGCGAACAAATTCTCAATGAGTTTTTCGGATTTTTTTCCCGATAAACATCGAACTTCAGTCGTTTTTGTCGATTTTTCTGGAATTTTCTGGCGAAATCGAATAATTTATTGAATTGTTAGTAGTTCATACATCATTTACAAGGAAAATCAACCGAAATTACAAGAAAATATGGGTGAAAAAGCACGAAATTTAGGTAAAAATTCAAATAATTTCGCGTTCTCGCTCGTCCTTTTCCTTCTTAATGTTGATTTTTCTGAACGGATTCTCAGTTTCCTTGTAATTTCTAGTGATTTCAAACTCGTCATGCCAATTTTCATTACACTCGACACACTGGAGACCCATAATCATGTGACACGCTTTCTGGCTGTGCATGAATACGGCGAACTGAAAAATAAGGCTTAAAATCCAGATTTTCCCCTAAAAAACAAAAAAAAATCAATAATTACAATGGGAAATTTCTCGAGGAATCCAATCAATTGACAGTGTTCGATAGCTTCGAAAAGGTCCCAAGTCCTCAAAAATTCTCCATTTTTTCGCTTTTCAATCTCCGGAAAAACGCGTTTCGCATGCTCCTCAATACCCGGGAATAGCTTGAGAAGTCCCAGGTACTGTAGCTCATTTTGGAGCATTTTGAGGCTAAAACCGTCTGGAGGAACATCTCGAATCTCTCGAACCGGTGTGTTGTCAAAAATTCGCATTCCAGCGAACACATTGTTTTTCATCACTTTGAAAAATTGGAGGTCAAAGAAGCAGGGATAGTCCTGAAGGAAAAAATCGATAATTTTCGCGAAAAATTCGGGTCAAAAACTAACAAAATCGGCATGGAACACCTTTTCCATCTCATCGAAAACGATTTGAATCACATTGAAATCTTTGATTTTTTGAAAAATTTGACAGTGCGAAATGAGGAATTTCATGCATTCCAAGAAGGCGTCGGCGATGAGAACACAAAAAGTTCGGCGGTTTCGGCCTTGGACGTAGGCTCCTTTGTGCTTGGGACGCGTGATTGGGTAGCGAATGAACTGGAAAAATATTGATTTTTAGAAGTTGTCAATAGAGCGCGTTTGTATAATTTTTGAAAAAACGGTAATTTTTGAAACGCGCTCTAATACAAATCTCCGGCGGGAATCCAAATTTTTTCCAGAAATTTGATTTTTCCGATTCGCGTTAGAGCGCGTTTAGGAAATATTGAAATTCAAAATTGTTGATAAATTTTTTGGACATTTTCATATTTTCCAGAAAACCTTTTTAAAAAAAATTCTCAAACTCCTTACAAACGCGCTCTAATGCGAATCGTCGTTTTTTGGCGGGAATTCAAATTTTTCAGAAAACCGATAGTTTTTTAAAAACCGATAATTTTCAGTTCGACTGTTTTTATCGATTTCTATACGTTTTTCCCGAATTTTCGAAAATTTTCGCAAACGCGCTCCACTGACAAACCTCGATTTTCTTCGCATGATCCCCATAAAACTCCATAATATCTGTTAAACTGATAGTACTGATAATGCCGACATCTCGGTCCTCCTCGAACAAAATTCGATCGATTAGTGGTAGAAGGAGATTTATGGAATCGAAAAATTCAGATTTTATCACATATTGCTCATCTTTGTCCTCGAATAGGCGTACGGTAGGCGGATCGATCATTGGGTCGACGAACGGTTTGAAGAACTGAAAAATAGGGGGTTTTCCTGTGTTTTTTCAGATAAATAGTGAAAAATGTAATTTGAATTTTTCAATTTTTTGAAATTTCTTGAAAATTTCGATAGTTTTTCCCATTTTTTCATAAAATCAAGGAATTTTGGATTTTTCGACTTCTGAGTAATTTTCGAAAAATTTCCGAAAAAAAATGGAACATTTTACAAAAATGTCAAAATTGTTGTTTTTTCACTTTTCTCAAGAATTTTCAGTCAATTAAAAAAAAATTAAATTTCGAAAAATCAAAAAAAAATTGAATTTTTGAAAAATTTACAAAATATATGTACAAAATTAGGCGAAAATCCGAATATTTAATTAAAAATTTTTTTCTGAAAATTAAAAATTTTTCAGTCAATTTTTAAGCTTTTTAAATTAATTTTTCATCATTTTCAGCGTTTTTTTCTTTATTTCCTGCAACTTTTTTTTTCAATTTTTCAGTTTTTTTCCACCCAAAAAAAATTTTCCCACCCAAAAAAAATCAATAACACACATGAAATTCGTTTCTCTCCCTCATCAAAGTGCCCAATGCTCTTTTAATATGCGTTTGTACATAGATAACAGAAGCATCTCTCATTTCTTTTCTCAGCATTGGAGGCATCGATCGATACGAATTCATATAATATCTCGAGTCGTCTTCATTATAACCAATCGGATCGATTTCGGCAAAGATTTTATCGATTTTTCGATATTCCCCTTTTTTGATGAATTCGACTATTTGCTTATGAACTTGCTCATGCTGAAAAAAAAATGATTAAAATTCAAGAAAATTAATTTTGAAGAAATCGGGATTTACAGACACACAGGAAAAAATGGGATGAAAATGAGAAAAAAACTTTCTAAAAGCCAAATTTTGGGGAAATTTTCGAAAAATTCGAATTTTCTCAATTTTTTAATTTTTTAGAAATTCCTGAAAAATTGAATTTTGGGGAAAATTCACAAAAAAATTTCGAAATTTTGCAAAATTTTGGAAAAATCGATATTTGAAATTTTTCCGAAAATTCCATTTTTTTTCTTCAAAATCTGAAAATTGATTTTAAGAAATTGTTTTCGAATTGAATATTTGGAAAAATTTCGAAAAAAATTTCAAAATATAATTTTCAAAAAACTTGAAAAATCTGAAATTTTGACAAAAATCGGATTTTCCAGAAAAAATTGAAAATCGAATTTTTAGAATTTTTCAAAAATTAAAAAAAAAAATTTAAAAAACCTGGAAAATCAGAAATTTTCAAAAAAAAAACCAAAATTTCAGAAAAATCGAAATTTCAGAATTTTTCGAATTTTCAAAAATTTTCGAAAATTTGAAAATTTTGAACAAACTCGAACATTTAAAAAAAACCTGAATTTCAGAACAAAATTTAAAAAAATCGAAAAATTCCAGAAAAATTATTTTTCTGAAAAAATTGAAAAAAATTTTAAAAATCGATTTCTTAAATTTAGCAAAATTTGAAAACCGAATTTTTGAAAATTCCTAAAAATATTTTCGTATCGTTTTCACCCAGTTTTCCCTCAAATTCCCGTCCATCTGTCTGTCGGTGACTCCAGATGTCTCCCATCCCACACAAACATTTTCGAACGCAGTCAAATATGCTTTCCAAATCTCTTTTTTATATTCCTCAAACATTTCTGGCCGAAATTTCACAAATTGAACATTTGTATGATGTTTCGGATAGTATCTTTGAATGTAGTGATTGATAATCTTTGCGAACACTGGACTCTAAAAAAATCGATTATCGATTTTTATTAATTTTTCAGACTAACAGGAAGCATTATAGTGTTGACAGCGATGTTCTCGAGAATCGGGTACAAATCGATTCTATGAATGTATTTCTCGCCTTTCAGACTTTCGAACACTTTTGGAGCTCTCTGAAAAATTTTATTGATTTTTTGAAGCAAGAAATTCCCGGTACATTCATCGGCGAGTCGTTGAAAAATCGATAACACTCTGGGAAATCTTTGAATTTTCGGAGATTTTCAATCAGCTCCTCGTCAGTTCCGTACATTCGAAATTTCTTCCGACATGCTTTCATATGAATCGGAAGATCGTTTGAAGATTTTGTGTCTCGCAAGCTCAGGTATTCTCGGAGCGGAAACGCGACGTATTCGATCAAATCTTTGATTGTGATGTCGGAATTTGTTTCGTCTTTTTTTGGAATGCAGAATGCTTGCATTTTTTCTGGAAAAAAATTGCGCTTTTTTGTTAGAAAATCGGCGAAAAAAAAGGAAAAATGGCTGGAAATTCGGAGAAGTATTTGAATTCTAGATTCTCCCGCCGTTTTTTCTCGTCAGGTTACTGTAGAAACTTAAAGGCGCATCACAACATTTTTTGTTCCGAGTCTCGCGCGGAATATTAGAAAAATGGTTTTTATTGAATTTTTCGATTTTTTTTTAAAGCCCATGGTTTACAAAACCTTACATTCAGGTTTTTCAATTATAAAAAGCGACAAATAACCTGTAGCACTTGGGTTCAAGCGAGGGGTCAGAAAAAGCGTCCCAGCAAACTCGTAGGCCAGAAGAAATTTAATAATTTTATTGAAACCCATTTAACCTTTTCAATTATATAATATGAAGCCGCAAAATGAAAAGAGTTTTTGGTTGTGGCAATACTCGGAACTTCCAGGAATTTCAACATCTGTAATAGCATAAAAACACGGGATCCGAAATTGTCTAAATCGGAGAAAAAAGTCAGATATTGAGAGATGGATAACAATTCAATACAACAAAAACAACTAATTTTCGATAATTCATTTTCAGGTAAAAGAAAACAAATATAACAACAAAAGTTAACAGTTTATAACAAGATAAAACAACGATTCGAATTCCAGAAGCTTTGTGGTTTCAGAACTTCGGGAGGTCCCCATTGCATGCTGGACACTGTTGATGCTCTTTGAGCCAGTCGATTGCACACTGAAATATTTTAATTTTTCAAAAAGTTGATAGATCAATGAGAACCTTCGAATGGAATCTTCTTTTGCACAATGGACATCTGATGATCTGATCTTTTTCAGATTCAATTGATTTCTCGCAAATGAGGCATTGGATTTTCAGCTGAGATGTGCAAGCGGTACTGTAGTTTCTATCGTCAATCGATAACTTGGAATTTGCCAATTTATCGGTCAACTGCTTCATTTTCACCTCATTCGTCTCGTTCTTCACAGACAATCTCAAATTTTTCTGTTGTAATTCTTGAATTTCCAGCGATTTTTGCTGATTTTCTTCGAGAATTTTCTGATGGGCGATTTTCAAATCGGCCAGTTCTTTCTCCAGAATTGATAACTTTTGATTTTCTTGAGTTTCTCGAGTTTCTGCAGCACATACCTCGCATTTCAATCCATAAACTCTGTGACATCCTTTCTGGTTGTGTACGAACCTTTTCAGCTGAAAAACAAAATTCTATCTACGTCTCAATAGAGCGCACTTACTTCTGGAAGTCTTTCGAGTACGCAATTCAATTGGCAGTGCTCAACAGCATCAAACAAATCACAAGTTCTGAGGACCTTCTCCTTTTTGCGTTTGTCCACTTCGACATATACAGTTTCTGCGTAATCCTGAATCTCGGGAAAAGTCGTGGTGAGACCCAAATGAGCCAATTCGTTCTTCAGATTCTGAAGAGTGAATCCGTCGGATTTCGCATTTCTGATGTTTTTGGCAGAATCGTTTCTCGAACTACTTATGAAACTGCTGAACCTCTCTTCGTCACAACGGAGAAAGTAAAGTGTCGACTGGAAAAAAAGGTATTTTGCTATCCTCAATGACTATTTTCATTACACAATCCAATTCGAAAACGTTGTTTAAAACGGTGAAGACATCGTGCACATTGATATTCGCTTTTTGGAAATACTTCGAACCAAGAGTGAGTTCCTTGAAGAATTCAAAAAAGGAATCGATCGCCAGAAATACAAAATTCGTTGGGAGTCTCTTGAGTTGATATTGGAATAGGAATTGCTCTATGTTTTGCACGAAGGATTGGATAACGAATGAACTGAACAATTGATTGGTTTTATTTGTGCGCTCTATCGGTAACCCTAACCTCGATGTTTTTGGTGTCAAAGTTCTTGAGAACCTCTTCCAAACTGATTGTATCCAATCGTTTATTCAATGTTAGTTTGGCTTTTAGAGCATCAGAAATTTCAGATTTCATCAAAAATTGTTGATCTCCATCTTCAAAAACTCTCAGAGTAACTGGCTCTTCAGAATCTCTGCCACGTGGCAAAAACATATCTGGATTATCATCAATGATTGTTTCGAGAATACTAAGAACACATGCGGCCCTGTAGTTAGCGATCATTACATCTGCAAAACTGCAATTATTGTCGGAATAAAAAAAGTGAGACTCGGTGTTTGCGTACTTTGAATCCCGCCTCCCCCCACCGACGCTCCGCCCATCGCTTTGCAAGTGCGGCGTGGTGTTTGGCGCCCCACTTGGGAGATCAT